GAGACTTACTTCAGTTTATTGCAGAAACTTTGGAGACTTCAGGGATGCCTCCAAGAAGATGGTCAAGAAAGACTTTTGAATTATAGACCGAGGACATAGAAGTCACGGACCGAGAGTCAGTCTTATCATGTCACTTAAACCCCTAGTCTTACAATTCTAGAGAACACTGAGAGAGGACTTCCCCTGGATGAGATAGCTCTTGGTTTGAGTTGAGATCTTATTTCGCCCCCAGCTAGAGAGCTCATTTACCCTCACTTATTCTAATCTATAGAACTTTTCCAATTTCAGTTTTCAATTTTTCTTTGATAAATGGGTTTATTCACTATCACTATTTATATAACTAGTGTTTAGAAGAGTTAAGCTGGCTAATGTAAGCTAAGAGCTGTCCTCTCCCAAATTATTTACAAAGGACATATGAAGGAAGATGCTATCTGCATCCAAAGAATTGATAAATAGATGCATTATAGAATTTTACATATATATGTATATGTGTATATATTTTATATATATGTATATGGATGTGTGTTTATGTTTGTGTATGTGTGTGTATACACTAACACACATTTATGTCTAATGGTAGCCATCTCTAGGATGGGGGGTAGGAAAGAAAAAATGGGGGAAAGTTACATAACTTTATTCTATATTTAAAAGAAATATGTTGTACATAATAGATTTTTGCTTTCATGTGCAATCACCTTTTTTTATTTTACCATGTTATCAAAATGCTTGTTTTATTCCATAAATTAAAAATAAAACAATTTTTTTAAAAAAGAGTGTAAGGGAAACATTTTCCTTCTGAATACAGACTCATACCTATACATGAGAGATATTTGAGGAGTGGCCAATAGATATAATTCTAGCTCAGTATCCCTTTTGGAAAAAGGAGAAACCACCCATGTTCCTGAGAATCTTGCCTGCCTATCTCCCAGACAAAAGCATCACCCTTATCCTTCCTCAAAAGGAGGAGAGGTAATCCCTTTAGATGTGGGTTTGGCCACAATCAGATATCAGCTACACATTCATCTCACCTCAAAGCCCTTCATAACCTACCCCTCTTCTACACTGCCAGTCTCTTTAGACATGACTCTTTGATGTGTGCTCTTCAGTCCAGGGACACTGGTCTCCTGGCTGTTCCACAAACAAGACACTATGGGAATTTTCTCTGGCTCTTCTCCCATGCTTGGATCGTTTTACCTCCTGTGCTCTGACTACTGTCCCTGGCTTCCCTTAAGTCCCAATTAAAATCCCATCTTGTGGACAAGAAGCCTTCCTTCACTCCTCTTAATTCTAGTCCCTTTCATCTTTTAATTGTTTCATATTTATCTTGTCTATAGCTTTGTTTGCTTGTTGTCTCCCTGATTAGATTATAAACTCCTTGAAGGAAGGGACCTTCTTTTGCCTTCTTTTGTTATCCCTAGCAGTTAGCATGGTGCCTGGTACAAAGTAGGTGCTTAATGAAAGTTTATTGAATGAATGAATCATTTTTCAGCCACATTTTTGTATTTAGATCACACACGGGCACACACACACACACACACACACACACACACACACACACACATCCTATACACAATGGGAATCAGCCTGTGCAAAGTCACAGAGATAGGCAATGTAATACTCAGTCTGGGGAACAAGTTGGGAGAAAAGACAAGAACAGCAAGAGGCTTAAAGCTAGAAGGAACTTGGGGGTCATTTGGTCCAACTCCTTAATTTTCAAGATAAGGAAACTGAGACCCAGAGATATTAAGACACTTGCTCAAGCTCATAGATCTAAATATGATCTGTAACAATTAAATTACAATACAACTGGGTCACCAGAAATGTCTCCAAATTAAACCTCAAGAGATCCAATATTTCATTCAGTTGGAGTTGCAGGGGAAAAGGCATTGTATTTGAAACTTTCCATGACACACTCCCTAGGAATCCTGAACTCTTACCAGGGAAGGAACAACCCATTTCAATTCTAATAAGGATGTTACCTAACACTGTAAATCTTCTTGTAGATTGCAAAGGTTTTCCCATGCATAATTGAAAACAATCACTTCCACTGGGATTTTTCCCAGGGACACATCCAGGTGTTGGAAAGAATTAGACATTGTGTCTATTTGCATATAATTTGCATATGGAATAAAGGTGCCTGCCAATGCTCAGGCGATTTTCAAGCTATATTTCTATTATTATAGATCTTGAGATTGTCTTGTCTGACTACCTGGTCTCTCTCTTTCCTCCTCACTTTCCTATCATCATCCACCCAAATTCACTCAATTCACCCAAGGTAGGTAGAGAATCCCCTCCTGAAGTTGCAGAGAAGAATCATTAGCAACCTTCTAATACATGCAAGGAGTACACTGCCACTCAAGAACATGGTTCTTCTCTCTTTTGTAAAGTTTTCTTGGAAAATAGTCATAGGTGGGTGTGTTCTCTATTATCTCTTTCCAACTGTCTTACTAAAAGGCAGTAAATAAGAGTTTACAGAGTCAGGAGGCCTGAGAGTTAGAATTAACTAGGACTGTATAGGCCAGGGGTGGAGATCCTGTAGCCTCAAGATCACATGTGGCCTTCTAGGTCCTTGGCTTTTGACTGAGTCCAAGTTTTACAGAACAAATCCTTTTATTAAGGGGATCTGTTCTGTGAAGTTTAGATTCAGTCAAAGAGCCACAGGAGAAGGCCACATGTGGCCTCGAGGTTGCGGGTTCCCTACTCCTGGTACAGGCCTAACTAGCTCATTTTCCCTCTTTGAGCCTCAGCTTTTTGGTTCGTTAAGAACAGGTAAATGAGATAATCTTTAAGGTTTCTTACAGCTCTAACATAAATTTAAATCTATAATTCTGTGAAGGAATATGCACTCAAAATTAGGTATATGTTGAAAAAATATTTTTGTATTTCTTTGTGGTTATACAATGAAGAGTTTACTTTGTAATGGTCAAATTTTGTTATTATTGGTCTTGAGTAGTAAAAGAATGGTGCAGGGGAAAGAAAAGAGAGAAATCTTTGAATTAACAGAATTGCTAATTGGAATAAAATTTTCAGATAGTTTCTACAAGGAACATTTCTCTAATTAATGGGGCAGTGTGAGCAGAATTCCTATAAATAACCCATATAGTCACTTGTGTTTACCTAGCAGTTAGAAAAGTGAATACTAAGTGATTAATTTATTGGAAATTTGCAAAAGCTCCAAATGCCAACTTTTCAGGAATAGCATGATTTATTTTTAAAGCCTAATCCAATGCATAGGAGATCCAGGAAAACAAGAGGGAAGAGAGTAGAAAGAGGCCAATTCTTATTATTTCCCTAATGACCACAAGCACATTATAATTTTTATTAGGCACCTATTATAGGGTCTTAAAAGCCTAGAACATCAATGATATAAGGAACCTAAGGGGTCATCTATTCCAACATCCTTATTTTATAGAGGAGGAAACAGGCTCTAAGAAAGAAAAGAATTTGCCCAATGTTACCCAACTAGTTAATGGCAGAAGAACTAGAACCCAAGTCTCTGGACTTTCAGTTCAGTGTTCTTACAATTATACCGTCATACCATTATATTGTGATACCTCTATCTGCTTACACGATGCTAGACACCGTAGAAAATAAAAGAAATAAATGTATTAGGATAGGTCTTTTTCCTCAAGGAGTTACTTTTGTTAAGTTGACTAAAGGATGTGAAATGACAATATAAGTCACTTAAAAACCCTACCTTGAATATTTCAAAGTTCCACTGTATCTTTTCATATGACTTATCTTCTTTTCTAGACTGCAACCTTCTTTAAAGCTGGGTCCTTGTCTTTGTTATATTTTCCTCCCCCTCCCCAGGCTCCAAAAGTGAGAGTCCTTAATAAAACTGAATTGGATTTCTCTTATCTCTTCTTAGCTACAATGTCTTTTTTGCCATGGTCTGACCTTAGCAGAGAAACCAGACCTAAAAGAATTAGCTTTCTGAGTAGAAGAAAGCATGTTCACAATCTGACCTTCAAGACTAGGGACCACAGTTCTGATTATACTTGGGTTTACAATTTGTTGTTTTTCATTCCCAGGGTATCTCTCTCTCTCTCTCTCTCATATATATGTATGAAGTATACATATAATTATATACATACATGTACTGTATATATATATAGCAGATGCATGTTTATACATATATATGTATGTATGTATATAAATTCTCATTCTTTCTTGAATCAAACCATGTAAGCAAATCTTAAAATGCAAAAGCCTTCTTCACCTCACCCCATCTCCTTAATACACATATGAATTTAAGTCGCTAAGCTTTCTGGAAATTACCACTGTCATGCTTGAACTGGACTAAAAGTTCCGAGTTGAAAGAGACAGGCTCCCTCCTGTTTCCAGATCATATGCAGGGATGAGATGAAGAGTAGGGAGAAGTTCAAACTGTGAAACAACTTATGGACTTATTTATCAGGTTAGAGGGAAGAAGGTGAATTTTAACACAACTGGATGGACCCTGGCTCATTTGAGTTTCTCAACTGGAAGGAACTGTGAGGACAGTCAGAAAGAGCCAACAACTGATTGCTAAGTCTGGTTGCTAACATCTTCTGTGTCATTCTGAAAACAGGCTCACAGCTGATACAGAAGTGAGTAGTCTCTAGGCTTATGTTTAGAAGGAAACTGCTGTCTAAAAAAATAATTAGGTCAAAATACTAGGAAAGGGGCAGATGGAAAAAAAAGAGGGGGCAGCTAGGTGGTGCAGTGGAGAGAGCACTGGCCCTGAAGTCAGGAGGACCTGAGTTCAAATCCGGCCTCAGACCAAACACTTGACAGTTACTAGCTATGTGACCCTCGGCAAGTCACTTAACCCCAATTGCCTAAAAATAAAAAGGAAAAAAAAGATAAAGTTCTTATTTGAATTAAAACAGCCATTCTATATATTCCAGTGTTTGGTGAGAGTGTGGCTGTGTTCCCTTTCCTTATTGGCATGTGCCATCTTTGTATACTCATTCATTTGTTTATACCTAGTTAAACAAAAGACACACAGTGAGAAATGGCAGACAAATTCAAATTTATTGAGACAGACAGAAATGCAACTATTCGGGACTACAATTAAGAATTTACAATTAACCAAAGAGGTTAGCCAAGTATTCACATTCCAGGTAAATCTGTATGGAAAAGCATTCAGAATTCACTATGCTAGTCTACTTTATTATGGTCATCTACATTGCATCTACAGTAGGGACAGCCAACTGACACACTGAGTTTTTGGGTGACATTCCCCTTACAACGCTACACATTTAACAGGAACAAATGTCAGCAGCATTGAGAAAAAAGTATAAAAAGACCAAAACCACCCACTGTAGAAAGAAAGGTCTCTTAGATGTTATTGTACAGTGCAGTTGATGCATCAAACAAACATGAATGATATAGGAGAAAGACTTAAGGGAAAGAGCTACAATGGACCAATCTGGTGGCCTGTGGTGAGAGACAGCTGTCAATTTCATATTATTTGTCACAGAGAGTGGGAGATGGGGAGGCAAGATGTGTTGGAAGGAGTAGAAGGGAGGACTTGCTATAAAACTCCAAATACAGTATTAAAACATTTCCAAGTCAGACACTTATATTGAAATTGAAGCCAGGTTTAGAGAAGCAAGAGGCACACCAGTCATTTTTCCCAAATGGAAAATTTGGATTTGAATTGGAAGGGGAAAAAAAAGAAATATTAAATATTTAAGACCTCCTCACAGCTCACAAGGAATTTCTAAACAACCACATTAGGATGCAACTTGGAGGCTGGTTCTAGTAGAGAAATGGGGAAATTGATCATCAAGATGATCACTGGATATCTGGAATTTTCAAATGTATGTAATCATGGTGGTGGAACCCTAAGAGTCCTGGTGACAGAAGGCAAAGCCTAACTTTCACCTCAGATGATAAAACAGAAACTTATTCTTCGAGTATCAGAATTAAGTCTTGTAAAAAAATTGTAATTTTCAATGGAAGTGATTTTAAAAAGCTTTTCAGAAACCTGACATTGCCCTAAGAAAGTTGAGTGAGAATAGTGTTTACTGAGCTTTGCTCTAACCACAGAAATAGTTTTGTATTTAAGGTTCTAATGAGTCAAAATATCTTCTTAGAGCATCTCCAAAAATTGAGCATCATTACCTTGCTACAAATTTTCCACAGCACTCTCTTATCCATCATTAAGTTAATGTTAAGGAGCTCTGAGTGTCATCTTAATTTGATACTTGTCATAAGATAATTAGGTAAATTAAAATCAGTAGTTCACTACATTCCTAAAAGTTTCTCTAAGCAAAATCAATGTGCCAATTCTAATGAGTTCTCTGGTGCATTTTCAGAGCTAGTTGGAGTTATTAACAATGATTTTCTCTTGCAGTCTGGATTGAAAGCTTTTCATGCATTTTTAATTTTTAAGGGATACATTTTCATTAAATTAACAATTTTAGTAAATTAACTGCTATTATGCAGCTGTTTCCAAACTCTGAGTTCAAAGACTTGGCCAAATAAAATCCACTTGAACCAGAGATAATGCATATTGGATCTCAAGACTTTGTCTCGTGGTGATTTCCTAACAGTAGTTTCCTGGTCCTGCAATTTGTGGCATGCATAGCAAGACCCACTCTATTAGAACAGCAGATGTATGATCTCCTTGCTCTTGGTTCTCACACATCAGTAGCTGAATCAATTATGTTCATAAGCAGGAAGAATTAACATTGGGTGTTATGGTGTCAGTTTAGCCAGCTGGGATGGGTAAGGGAAAAAAAAATCATTCAATTCAATGAGAAAAAACGGCAGCCAATTGTATCATAGTGACCAGCAAACTAGTGAGTTGACCATATTTTTGACCGAGCTGATGGAATGCAGTGGTATAGCTTAGGCCACAATTGAAGAAGGAGGCAAACCACCAAAGGGTGCGTTGACTTCATCTGCCAATTAGTTTTCCCATAAAGCAGAGTGGTGAATTGATGAAAATATAATGAGCACTTTCAATTGGGGAAGAGCATGGCTAAGGCTATGTTGAAAGAAAGTTCTCTGGTGGGGGAAAGAAAACCTTACTTAAAAGGCTTTCAAACCCTTTTGACCAGCCCTATTGCAAGAGGCAGGGAGGGAGCAATTATAAGGACTGAATGGGATGAAGATCTGCAGGATTTGCAATAAGCATGTGGTATTAGTAATCCCCTTCTGCCCACTTGTGGAGATTCGAAATTTTCATAAAAAACTCTTGGGATAAGGAAAGTAATATAGAAGAAACTTTTAGCTTTTTAAAGCTAAGCTCATTTGTATCTAAGAAAGAAAAATAAGAGATTAAAATTCAATTTTTTAAATCAATATTTATACTCCTTAATTACAACCCCAGTTTTGTGAAGATGTCATGAAGATTTCCTTTTGATTCACTATCCTTTGATTTTTTTTTTTTTTGGCAAAGCGTGAAACCCATTATCAATCCTAAAGAGAACAGATCCCTCTGGGGATGGGCAGCCAAAGATAAATAATTGCCAACACTACTGAGGGCAGTGGCATCAGTGAAAATTGAGACATTGGAAAAAGCATATTTTCTTATTATTTCTTTTTTTTTCTTAAGTAGACATCAATGTGGTAAGAAACTGCCTGGAGCATCCTTTTGTAGGCTGCATATTTATAATATGTCCACGATTTCCTTTAGAGCTTTTTGCTCCTAAGAATTATACTTCCTCATCAAAAGCACTATGGGCAAAAATGTTTAGCATCAGCTTTGGTCTAGTCCTAACACTCCAATCTCAATCTTCAAGCTAAATGGTAAGATCATACAGAAACAAGTATGGGTTACAGGTTGGTCATAATGGGTGGATTCGCCTCTCTCTCTCTTTTTTAACCCCAAATCCCTGGATTCTTTCCCATAGGGTGCAGAGGCCAGGCAATGGCATATTTTCAGTACCTATCAAACCTCACTGCATTCTACATGAAGCTACACCACCATGGCCCTTATATGGGAAAAGCTGGAGTCTCTCTGACAATGTTCAGTATAACTTCTGCCCTACTCTGGGTCCAATTACGGCAAAGGTCCTTGGAAGACTGGGCACAGTCATATCTTTGGTCCACAAGTCTTCACTGGTAAAGGCATGTGAGGCTGTTGGTAAATCTTGCCTTTGTCAGAGGAACAGGTCCAATGCAAAACTGAAGTCAAACTCTTCAATTGCCTTCTCTTAATGAAATATTGTGATACTACATCTTTTTTTTTTAAGAGACTGTCAGATATGCCTTAGGAAAGCCCTGTAGGAGGAACTGGAGGAAAAGAAGAGGCAGTAAACAACATAGTTGCCTAAGGAAGTCTGTGAGATGATATGAAAGAGACAGCTTAGGACGCTGAGGAGAGTGAGAATTCCATGGCTTCTGCAGGAGAAGTTGTTTAGGCAGTCTGGGGCTTATCAAAATCAAAGAGATTTTCAACAGCCCTGCTGGTGCCTGAGAGAAGAAACTGCATCAGCCTGCAGGTTACAAGTGCCAACTATTAATGCAAAAACAGTTTCTACACAGATTTCGGATTTTTTTCTTCTGGAAATAGTAATTGTCTGGACAGGCTGGCATCTTAATTACTTCTCAACTTTGTTCTCCAAAGATTCTAAACAACTATCTCTTCCTGTATAGGGGTATGAGTGTGTGTGTGTGTGTGTGTGTGTGTGTGTGTGTGTGTGTGTGTGTGTGTGTGTATCACACACACACTCACATATATAGATATATATATATATACATACATAAATATAGAGAGAGACAGGCATCTGGCAACCATTCTATAGCAAAGAGAATGGCTCCCCAAGGGGGCTCTTGGCAGAATTAAGGCCATTGTTTTTAGAAAGCCAGAAGTAGCTATGCACAGGAGAATCAATTTGTACTGATAAATATCAGGGGTTTTTTTTTGGGGGGGGGAGTGGAGGCAAGAGGGAAGATTCCAATGAGGCATTTCATTTTTCCTCATATCATCTTCAGTACACAAGAAAAGCAGCCAGCCATTGCAAGCAGGTCTAGGAGGAAAAAAATGTGACATAATGAACTACCAGTACAGACAAGTAAAACAGGACTCTTTTTTTTTTTCATCCAGAGGACCTGGCTCTCTCCCCAGTCAGAATTTCACATAAACTACAATAATTGTTGAGAGAAATCCTCGTGAAGGGAAGAAGGGAAGCCAGGAGCACGAGACTTTGTTTAAGTGAAGCCAGTTGTCCCTAGGCTAAAGAAAAAAACATCCACATCCCCAAAATAGTCATCCTTGGGAAAGAAGGAAAGCTGTCTTCGAAATCATACACAGGGTGCAGAACAGAACTGTGGAGAGGAGACATTTTGTGCCTAATGGTTTTAGATACAATTGTTGAGTTGTGATGGACTTGTGATATTGTGCAAAACACATGTCCTTTGCCCTGAGGGGACTACCATATATAGCCAACCTCATCCTCTTTGTCGTCATCTTCATCTTCATCATCTTCATTTGTTGCCCTCACATGAATTTTCAGTTTCCCGTCTTTGTCCTTTCGTGCTCCTCCGTGTTCTTCTTCCAGATCATCCAGGAGAACCACAGCACCCCCACTGCCAAAGTCTCCCGAGGTTTCTTGCTCTTCTTCTAAAATATTTTTTTTAAAATAAAGCAGACAAACACAAAAACATTAGAGGTGCCTCTCCTTCCATACTCTCTGCCACTGATGAGTACTGTCTTTGCCCTGCTTCCCTCCTGTCTGAAGGCTCACTATCCGTCTCAAGGTAGTAAATAGCACTTCCCTGTCAACTTGGCAGAAAAATACCAGCATCCCCTTTCCCACTTGAAATGATCAACCTGTAGGATCATAGGAGCAAAGATCAAAGGAGCAAAGAGCTAGAAGAGATCTTAGACACCCTCTAAGTTTCAGCTTAGGGGCCAACTCCCTTCTTTTGAAGATGAAAAAACTGAAGCCAGAGAGTTAAGTGACCTGTCCAAGGTCACACAGGTAAGTGGCAGAGCTAGGTTTTGAATCTAGGCCTCCCAACTCCAGATTCAGCATGCCTTCCATTAGACCATTCTACAGATCTATAAGTAACGTTTCAAACTAATCAATCTCTAAAGAAATTATACAGGTTTTTTCCTGTAGCATTTTTAGGTATATAAAACTAAAGAATTAGATGCTTGATACTAGGTCTTAAGAACTGGCAGTATAAATAACTCCACTTAAAAGCTGACTCCTACACTGTTACATTTCTCCATCTGTATGATAATATAGCACCCACCATCGTTCTCTAGCCATTGCCAATTATTCTCTATATTCTATGTTATTTTATATCTTTCTTTTTTTTCTTTTTTCTTTTTTTTTTTTTTGGTGAGGCAATTGGGGTTAAGTGACTTGCCCAGTGTCACACAGCTAGTGCGTGTTATGTGTCTGAGGCGGCATTTGAACTCAGGAACTCCTGACTCCAGGACCAGTGCTCTATCCACTGCGCCACCTAGCTGCCCTATTTTATATCTTTCTTATGCCATTAAAATGGATGCTACTTAAAAATAGGCACTTACTAAAAGGGTGTTGATTATTATTTCTTTGGTAAATTCAACAAGAACACCTCCTCTCTCCATTTGAGTGTCATCTGAAGTCTTATTTTCTAAATCCTCTATATATTTCCTGTCACCTTCCCCTAAAATGTCCAATGTAGTACTCTATATGATTATTAACTGTTGACTGACTGACTGCACATAGTAGTGTGTCTGTATTACCTTCAAATTATAACTGGTTGATGTCCAGGGAGTGGGGTCGGGAGGGTTGGGGCTTAATTCCACTACTCACCACAGTTCACAGCTCCTTGCTTCCTAGAGCCAGCCAGCTCATTCCCATACTTATCCACACACCAGCACTGTCCTGTGCTCCCATGACACTGAGTGGCTTTGTAGTACCCTTCATCATTGCAGCGGGGAATGAATGTCCCTAGAGGAAACAAAGAGAATTCTCAGGTCCCACATAGCAATCAAACCAAAACAAGCTAAGCAAAGACTCTCCTGGATTAAATAAATGGGATGCCTTATGGTTCCAAATCATTATTTTCATATGTGGTGGATGATCACAGCATCACCACACTATTTTTTGCTTCATAGGATGTCAGAATTGGAGGGAACTTCGAGATCATCTAAAAAACTGAAGCTGAGATGGCTATATGACTATACACTCTAATGGCATATATTTATGTGTGTGTGTCTATATATACACATACATACATACATATGTCATTTAGTAAATTGGCGTTAGAATCAGCATTAGGAAACTCAGGTCTCCTTCTTCCTAGTCCAGTCCAGGTGTTCCTGTGCCAGTTTTGCTGATGGGCTCATTTGGGCAGGCTCTCCATTTGTGGAGTTGCCAACCTCCACTCTTCATCTATTGAAGCTCCTGATGGAGTCAAGACCTGGCATACCTCTTTGGAAAAGTTCATTTAGAGTTATTTGAATGAAATGCTCATTCATTCACTCACTCACTCATTTATTTTATACATTAATTCATTCTTCATGTTAAAGGCAGAAGGTACCTTTGGAATCTGAGACAGTCTAGGGGAAAAAAATAAGACAGTAATCAGATGGCATCAGTAACCACAGGAAAAACTTTAGCTTAAAAGAGATATTTATATACAAATTCCCAAGCAGATCTGCAAGGGAGAACATGTGGTGAACTAGAAGGAAAACTGGCCTACCTATCAAACCACTCCATAAAAAACTTATCAGTAGACAGGAAAATATATATTTGTCTTAATTCCCTAGGCTGGTAATAAGCCAGGTGCTGTGCTGAATCTACAATATAATAAAACTAACACTTTTTTCTAAGTAGGCAGTAATTATAACTGATTATGATTTGCTGTTGCTTGTTCCTGGGTTGCTCTGAATGCCCTCTGAATACACGGTTATTACATCAGGAGTTTTTCCCTTGGGGAAAATAATTTGTAAGCAAATAAATAGAATTCTTGTTTGCCAGCTATAACATTTCAAAGTGTTCTAGTTTTAGATGGGGAGAATGTGATGAGAAGATCTTTCATATCAGGTAGACAGCATTCTTCAGAAAAGTCAAGAATAAGATTCATTGGCTGGTGAATAATAATTATATCATGTCATCATCCAGGGCTATGCATCCACTAAGGCAAGTGATAAATATTAATTGATGAGGTAGACATATAGCTCAGAAGCATTTAGATGTAAAGACATATTTTTGCCATAAAATATGTGTGTGTATGTATATATATGTATGTATGTATATTATATACACATATGTATGTGGTGTCCCAAAAGTCACAGTACAGCTCTAAGCTACTAAAAAAGCTGAACCATGACTTGTGGAGCACCTTTTATTTATGTATCTATATTTACATATACATATGCTGCATTGTGTAGTAAATAAAGAACTGTACTTGGAGTCAGGAAGATTTGGGTGTGAATTCCATCTCAGGTGCTCTGTGTGAGCTGTGAGGCTCTGGGCAAGTCAGTTAACTTCTCTGGTCCTCAGTTTCCTCATTTGTAAAATGAGGAAGTTTTACCTCTAAAGGCCTTTCTTATTTGAAATTGATGATCCTGTGATCTTCCTGTGATGCTTCCTCATGGTGTGGAGTTCTCTAAACCTCAGTAAAGTTTTACTAAGTTAGAAAGGCTTTAAATATAGGTCCTGTGACTGCTCACTATTGTATAGCATAGTAGGAAGAGTATTGGCCTTGCAGTCACAAAGATCTGGGTTCAAAACCTACATCTATGATACTAGCTAAGTGACTAGGCATACTCACTTAACATCTTCAAGCCTAATATGAAAAATGGAAATAACGATACCTTATAAGACCTACTTCATAGGACAGTTGTGGTTCTCAAATGAAATAAAGAATGCTTTGCAAACTTTAAAGGGATATGTAACTGTCACTTATTTGTTATTATCTGAGGACCAGTTTAGCTAAGTGCAAGGTGATGAACTCCTTGGTCGTAGCAACTCTTGAATACCATCTACTATGTTGTAGAAGGGCTAAAACCTGTGTCACCAGAAGAAGTGCCCACACCCACAAACACAGATCTCCTTGAAATATTGATATGAATATGTCAATTATCTTTGTTCTGCCATTAACTAGCTGCATTAACCATGGGCAAATTATTTCCCTTCTCTGAGAAATACATCATGTATCTTCCCATGCGTAAATATATGAACAAATTAATTCATTTATTACAATAAGTTTACAAGGGTTTTTTTTATAGCAATGCTAAGAAGGAAGTGCAAATAGTCTTAATGCCCTTTTATAGAAGAATAAATAGGTTCAGAAAGTGGCTTGCTCATGATTATACAACTGATAAACTTCATGGAGAGTTGGATTGGATGATATTGGAGGTCTTTTCTATCAGGATCCCTTTGAAACTGTTATTCAAACTTCAGACTTTGTTCTATAATTGAGGTCTATAAAATGGGACTCTGTACCCTTTTTTTAATGATAGCAACTCTCACTTAAAATAACCTCCTTTTAGGGGCAGCTAGGTGGTACAGTAAACAGAGTACCGGCCCTGGAGTTAGGAGGACCCGAGTTCAAATCTAGCCTCAGACAATTGACATTTATTAGCTGTGTGACCCTGGGCAAGTCATGTAACCCCATTGCCTAGCCCCCCCACAAAAAACCCTCCTTTTCACACATACATACACCACCACTAGGAGAGCTCCTAAGAAATTTCCTTTTGCAGGGCCACAGACTATTAGTCAAATGGAAACCTAGACCTGATAGTCATCTGCTTAGCTATTTACTTTACACCAAACATGGCCAAAACTTCCCACTCAGTACAAGTTCTCATAGAAACAGAAAATCTAATAAGAAACCTCAAAAAGTCATCTGGTCCAGACTCTTGCATTGAAGAGAGTAATCCCTATCTGGTATTGTAAGGAAAACACACACACACACACACACAAACACACACACACACCCCTCAGTTTCCTTATCTGCAAAAATGAAGTAGTTGGGCTAGACAATCTCTAAGGTCTGTTTCTGTTCTGGCAAGAGACTCTAAAGGTCTTCCCCTCCCAAATAAATTATTTTGTGAAGGGAAACTAGGCCATCTTTTGCCTCAATTCTTACCTAGCCTTTAACTACTGAATGGGTGTTGCTTCAGAGGAACTGAGAAGAGGGAAAAACCTCAGCTTAAAAAGGGCAAGTTTTCCCACTCTATCCTGAGCTATCGTCAGTCATCTCCACCTATGTCTTGCCACTTGGACTCTGATAACTCTGAAGGAGAGTGCGAGGTTGATGACTTTGCACAGTTCTAACTCACTTAAATCCAATTCACTTTCAAGTCAAGACATCACCCTCCTGATGTCATTGGTCCTCTTTGAGAATGAAGGATGAATAACAATCTATGAGCTGTACTACTTTATGACAGGTAACTAAGTCAAAAAAGGTTGGAACCAGAAATCATGTATTCTCATACTAAGTCCACTGATTCTTAATATTATTTTATTTTAAGAGTCAGTGTGGCATACCTAAGAGTTAGGAAATCCTGGATTCAAATCTTGCCTCTGGCACTTATTAATTGTATGATTATGGGCCAGTCAATTAAATTCTTTGAGCTTCAAGCAACTCCCTAAGACTATAAGTTATAGATGAGTTATAGTTATAATATGAGCCATATTCAATAGAGAGAGTTCCTAGACTCACAAAATCAGAGCTTGATATATTGGCTTCAAGTTTCCATGCTTTTCACCTTTCAGCAGTATAGAACGTGATCTCTCCTCTCAATACTGCATGCACCCTCTTGGACAGAGAAGTAGGTGTTGAGTCACAAAGACATGCTCAAATTCCTGGACAAGTAACAATCTCTGTGTGTCAGTTCCCTCATCTGTAATATTTGGGGGTTTAGCCCTGATAGCTTCTAAGGTCCCTTCCAATTCTATGACCATGCTTCCCCAAGGGAAGGCCTTTCTTACCATTACCATGTTCATATTATCCTTCTTGACGATCACTCAACAGCCTTTCTTTGTTTTAGGCCCATTCCATCCAAATAGATCACCCTACCCAGATCCTTGTGGCACCAACCCCCAAGGCATACTTCTTGCTATTTCAAGTCCAGCACCTGATTCACCTTCTTCCCCTCTACTTTGACAACAGCCCTCATATCAAGGGATTTCAACATACATGTTGTTGTTCCCTCAAACACCCTGGCCTCCCAGTTTGTCAGTCTCTTCAGCTCTCATGTTTCTAATGTCTCTCCTGATGTTTAGTCCTGCAACAGCCACTGTCTATTGACATTTCCAATTGGCCGTTCTATACGCATATTAAGCTCAACATATTCACAGCCATTTCTCTTCCAAATTTCCCTATTTCTATTAATCATGCTACCATCCTTTTCCAATCATATCTGACTCTACTCTGATTCACCCACATACACACATTGAAATCACCAAGTCTTGTCAATTATACCTCTATAACATCTCTTTCATCTAGTCTTCACTCCACTCCTATGGTCATTATCACTTCTCATCTAGGCTATTACAACAGACTCCCCTTTGACTCCTCTGCCTCCCCCTCTCCAAACTATATTTTACGCAAGTATCAAAATGATATTCATAACGCACAGGTCTAACAATGTTACTCATCTGTTCAAGAAGCCCCAGTGGCTCCTTCCTGCCTATAGAATCAAATGTATAAATTCCTCTTCTTGGCATTTTAGCACTTCACAACCCATCTGATCTATCTTTCCATACTCATTAAACATTCCACTTCACGCAATCCATGGCCTAGCCAAACCAGCCTAGTTCTTGTTCCTCACACACAACATGTCATCTCCCATATCCATGCCTTAGTAGAGGTCTTTTCCCATGACAAGACTCTACTGCCTCTTCACACAGTGAATTAGAATCAAAGCCAGGAATGATTTTCCTGGTATTCTGCTCCCAAGTAGGGAGTGGAAAATGATCACATTTCACATGTCTTTTATTTATTTGTGATGGCTGTTTCCACACTTTTACAAGCCTGCTGGCAAACAGAGACCTCTTGTTTTCTTGTTATTTTGTTTTTAATGCAAACTTTAGAAATGACAGACTGTAGCCAGCTTCACTATATTGAACAAGGGCAAATTTAAATGATTTCCTTTCAGTATTCAGCTCTCTAAAAACACAAGGTCTATGCTACTGAATCCTGGATTTCATTCTCAAAGAAAGTTTACCACATTTTGCTGATTCTCTGCTTCCAAGCCAACCATTTCCTCTGTCTGCTGGAGAAAGGAAGACTCTAGGAAATTAAATGGAAAGGCCTTGACAGGACTCGGCATTCATTATCTTTACCGCAGCTACAAAACAGCACGTTTGTCAGAAGCAAGGTTGAGCTCTGTTGTTATTGGTTTTCCACCCTGCCCTGACATTCAGATGGAGGCAGGAGAAGTACATCGTGTCTAAATAGCTAAGGGATCAGATGACAGCTTCCACCGTCTTCTACCTTCTACATGTGTTCCCTTGGGGAACTGAGGACAGTTACAGTGAATCTCTAAGGTGAAGACAAGGATACAGTGGCAACCACTTCTGTTCACTTTCATATGGGGGGGAGGCAGTCAGAGAAGGATGCAGAGCAGGTCTCTTCGTCCGTTCCTTCCAGTCATTCTTGAAGATGAAAGAAAGGGAGTACCATAATAGGTGAGGAATCAAGAAAAGGATCTCAGAAATCAGCTATTCAAATCACACTGGGCATCATCCCCTGAACACATACCTCCCCATAACTGACACCCCTCTCTCCTAATCCCTGCTTCTTGAAATTCTGTACTTTTGGAAAAGATCTGAGATGCGTCCTCCTCTGTGGAGCCTTCCTTGATCTCTTCCTGAAAATGAGCTTTTTAGACTTACATAATAATAGGTGATATTAAATTAGTTTTAAGATTTTGCAAAGCATTTTACATACATTATTCATTTTCATCTCATAATACCACACTGATGTGAAAATTACAGGCATTATTATTCTCATTTTAAGGATAATCCAAAGCACAGAGCAGATAGATGCCTTGCCCAGGGTCATAAAATAGGTATGTATCTGAGGCAGGATTTGAACTCCTGTCTTTCTGCCCTTAGGTCCCTTGCTATATCCACTATTAATCAGCTGCCTCTTCTAGCTCTCAAAAATCACCTTTCTTCCTTATGTACTTTTCTTTGGGTAAAATAGTCTAATCTCCCCCCAAAATTTTTTTATAGGAATTGTAATTCCTGTAGGAATTATGGGAGGAAACTTAGGGCCATAGGAGTTAAGTGATTTGTCCAAGGTCACACAGTGTCTCAATGGTAGGACTTGAATCCAAGTTCTTTGCAATACAGTTATGTAAGGATATATCATATCTCTCTGTACTAGAATATGAGCTCCAATGCACAGTGCTAAGAATTAGAAGACCTGAGTTCAAATCTAGACTCATAGCCTCAGACATTTATTAACTGTGTGACCCTTGGCAAGTCATTTAACCTCTATCTCAGCTTCCTCAATTACTAAGGATAATAATAGCATCTACTTCCCAGAGTTGTTGTCAGGACCAAATGAGGTATTTGTGCTTAGCATAGGGCTTGGCTTGGTCCTTAATAAATGCTTGCTTGTTTCTTCCTTCATTTCCTTCCTGCCTGCCTGCCTTTTTTTCCTCTCCTGCATCGCATATAATATAGGAACTTAATAAATATTTGATGAATGAAAACTCCTTTATTTGACAGATGAGGAAACAGATCCAGAGTGGGAAAGAGACTTACCCAAGGTCACATATTCAGTTCATGTTTCAACTGGGACTAGAACCTCAGTCTCCAGATGTTCCAATGTTTCTTCCACTATATGTTGACTCATCTTCCATAATAATGCGGCATGGGCCTGGTTCTCAATCAGTTACTCTGATTCACAGGGCTGCATCATTGAATGTAAGAAAGGGACCTGTCTACTTCAAAACATGGCATTTCCATCATGAAAGGCTGGCCCCTAATTAAATAGCCATCATCATGAATGACATGACAACAGTCACATCTGCTTTAATTACTTGTTCAAATGAGTGGCAAGAAACTGTACTCACCCAACAGGCTTTTCCCCTTGCTTAGCTTCTGAATCCTGTTCATTTCATTCTGGCAAGGGAGACCTAAAACATAATTTATAAGAGTCAGTTTCCAGATGGTGTGGTATATAATCTCTAATGATTGGCTTCACTTTTGACATGAAATATAGCCAATAGTACACCTGGGAATGGAATTACTCCATATGCTGGTCCTGAACAGTGAGACAAATTTGAGCCATTAGTGTTACTCATTAAAAAAAAAAACCAGCACAATGTATTTCAAAATAGTGTTTGGGGGCTAGGTGGGTGGTGAGATACTTTTTTCCCCCTATCTACTACTATCTCCAAAAAGGTTCAGAGTCTAATTTACTATTGGCTAACAGACTTATTTCTTGCCATCAGGAAGTATGTAACCTCCTAAGGTTTCTGTCAGCAGGAGAAAGAGGATCAAGATTCCATTAGCTGAGAACAGTTAATCTAAATACTAGATCAGTATAATAATAGCATGATGAATCCTTTGTCTGCTACCCTTTTACTATGTCTCACGTGGCAGAAAGCGTGTCCTCAGTATAGCTATCCAGCAAACTAATTCAGCCCTCATGGCCTTCTAGCTTTGAAATAGGAAATTGGATACCACTATTAAGATATAGTAGGAAGCCAGAATAGCTCCTTCCTTTGATAGATACTCCAATGTATCATTTACATAGACATTGGAATCACCTCTCATGTCTCTTACCTATTGAAGGGCAAGGAGTGAAAGCCTCAAATTAGAATGGAGCTTGTTGGAGTATATCAGTACATAAAATACCTTCACTACACCTCATCTACCAGGATTGAATTTACCTGCCTTTCTAAACAAATGGACCTCTTGGATCCCTTAAAATTACATCGTTCCTTTCTTTTGAAAACCTCAAAGCACTCATATAATCTACTTTTTGCTTATTCCTACAACATTCCCCTGGTGCCTTTTTTCCCTTTCTCTTGGTTGAGGACACAGGGGCTCAGAAATGTTTGGTAAATTACAGGAGGTACACACATTCTTTGATAGATGAGGAAGAGGAGGATTAGCCCTCAGGTCTCAGGATCAATCAGTGCCTTGGACTTTTGTCCCTCATCTTCTAGTCTTACTCATCTACTTGCAAAGTACAATTGTATGTTTATAAATATATGCTGTTCTTTGAATTATATAACCTTTTAAGTAAGCTCAGAGATTTTATAACCCTATCTTTTTTTTGTCTACCTGCTCATGGAGAGGAAGTAGGAGTGAAACAGATAAAAACTGTCAGTCTGTAAGGTGCACAAATTCATACCTGCTCTTGGATTAGTTTGATAAGTGGGAAGACTCTCCTAATGAGAAGACAATAATACTTTACATTTACATGTTTGCAAAGAACCTTGTCATCTCATGTCATTTGCTCTAACAATAATGCTATCATTTAGGTATAAAAGACACTGTTATTTTCACTTTACAGATGAGAAAATAGAGGCTCAGACAGTATGAATGACTTGTCCAAAGTCACACAGCTATTTAAGATCAGATTAGGGACTGAGAGCCTTGATTTCTAATTCCAGGTTTGTTTGTTTTTCCCCAGTATGTTATACTTAAAATAGAAATGGAATTGGAAATCAACAGCACCCACATTCTAGTAAGAAGCAATAAATCTTATATTTCTATGCAATATCATACTGTCCCCTAGTTTCTCACTTGAGATATATTGATTTATTAATTATAAATTATATAACATCAGACTATACTATATCATCATATATATTATAATTATATATAAATTATAATCAATATATCAATTAATATATTAATTAAAATTTTCCCATCCCATTAAAATTCCCAACCCACCCCCATTAGCATATGATGAATGTGACTGATTTAGACATTAAACCAATTATCTGGATTCTGACCTACATCTTACCTCCTGGCTTCTGAAAGCAATAGCACCATTCATTGTTTGAGAGTTTCCCATCTTTGAAGGAGTCACAAGAATTGAAGAGGGGTTTGAGGCATGGTTCATACTTGTCAAGGTAAATGGCATTGATCTCTGAGTGGTCAAGCAAGAGATCATAGTTCATGTCTAATTTGTTGAACATCCATCCCAGGGAGTCCTTGCAGATAGGCAGAATGCTGGTGTCAAACCCTAGGAGATGACAGGAAAAAAAATTCTGGAAATGGACAAAGTCTGAGGTCTCCTGAACTAGGAAAAGTCCTTCATAAAGTCCCTGTTTGTCCTTGATTCAAAAGCCTATAAGGACTATCACAATCCCGACTACTTCCCCTCCCCCACCCTACCCACACTCACTTCTCTCCCTTTTCTCCACAGCTTTACAATAAAGACTCTGCTTACAACCAGTAGACTAGGAGTCCTAACCACTCCTCCCTGGCCATGGAGTCATAAGATTATTTAGCTAGAGCTGGAAGGAATCTCAGAGACTACCAAGTTAAACTGTTTCAATTGAGGATCAGGAGATGAGTAAGTATTATAGGTAAGATTCGGATTCATGTCCTCTGACTCTAGAGTCAGTGACCTCTTTATTGCTCCAAATGGATTCATCAATACTTCCAACTTCAATAAACTCTTACTAAATTCAAGGTATTGTGCTATAAGTGCTGGCAATACAAGACATAAAATAAAACAGTCACCACCCTCAAGGAACTTACACTTGACTTTATTTTTTTATTTTAAAATAAAAGTTCTAGTGTAAAAATCATTTGGTTTGGAAGCTAGAGAATAATTTCAAATGTTGTCTCTGCTATACTACTATCTGTGTAAACTTGAGCAAAGCCTTAACCTCTTTAAGGCCAAAGTTTTTTTGTTGTTTTGTTTTTAGATGTAAAAATGATCTCTAGGGTACTTTACAGCTAGAGATCCTAAGTCTATCACAATTTTTGCATTACCCATAAATCAAACTTTTATAAATAAAAACATATCAAATGCACTAGGCAGACCCACTGTGAGAATTTCACAGCAAATGCCTTTATAAAGTGAAGATGCCCCCTACCATCACCATGATTGATCTCTTGCGTAAAATCTAGATATTCATATACTGAGTTTGCTTAACATGGGAAACAGGTTCTACAGGAGAGTACAAATGCATTGGTTAAGGGTCATTAAGTACAATTTTATGAAGGAATGAGAATTACTCATGCTTCACTATTTTGAAGTGAGAAGGGGCTTGCCAGTGGGAAGTTTGTCTTTTTGGCTGAGAACTACATAGTTGTGGGAAATATTGATCTCAAGCTCACCTGGGGAAGAAATAAACCCAGACAAGCATGAGACAATGGGAAAATATGATGAATGAATATCCCAATTTGCACGAGAAATAAATTATAACAGTTGGGAATAAAATTAAAATTACATAAAATTAAAACAGTTTGGAAGCTTTTACTCTACAAAAGGAAAATCTCATGAATAATGAGCTCCCCTAGTAAGTACATTTTAAATAAATATGGAATGTCAGAGCTTATCAAAATCTTACTGGTGTTATAATCCAATCTACTCATTTTATAAAGTGGGAAGCTGAAGCCCAGAGAGGGTAATTGGTTTGCCCTTCTTTCTGTCCTCTCCTTAAGTTCCAGATACAAGAGCCAAATCAACCCAGATAAAGCTATCTCTGCAACTTAAACCCATTTGGGCACTGCCTCCTGGTGGTAGTGTTGAAGGCATAAAACTTTCTCTCGCTGAGGAGGCTGATGAATCCTTTGAGGTCAGAGTTTCTAAGTTGCATGCAGTAGAGCTTAAACCAAAAGAGTGTTTAAACTAAGTCTAGCACTAATATGGTGAGCTCCCAAGAGTAGAGGGCCACCAGGCTACCTAAAAGAAAGGATGTACCCCATTCAAGTTGGAAAAATGGAACAGCTTAAAGTTTCCATGCCAATCAATCAGTATTGTGATCAAGTCTGCAAGCAGCTGCCGCATTTTCAGCCTGGGCATTTCTAGAAGAGGCACTTCTGGTCTGGGCGATAATAGTGAGACCAAGTCTCAAAAAACAAAAACAACAACAAAAAAAACCCCCACAATGTTTTGATCCCCTGTATAGACTAAATGTCAAGGACTTATGATTAATTAATGATTTTGTTAATGTGAGAATTCTTTCCAATCACTACCTACAATTTAAAGTCTTAGAGAGTTGTCTAAGGCTCAGAAAGGTTAAGTGACATGCTTGTATGTTGTCACATAACTAGCAAGTGTCAGAGGTGGAATTTAAACCCAAGTTTTCCTGATTCTTTAGGACTTTTGCTACTCATAATGTAGACCATTGGTGTCAAACTCCAATATAAATGAATCCCTGTAGGCTGCATATTGGCTTAGAAAACTACAAATTAACATTATCTTTTATTTATTTTGTTAAACATTTCCCAATTACATTTTAATCTGGTTCAAATCATACTTGGAAGTTTGCCAACTAATTGTCCAATTCTCTTTCCTTTGCCACTACTGTAACACCAATCTGTGAGTCTGACACCTCTGATGCTGATTATAACCACTCAAAAAGAAAAAAAAACTTTGCTAAATATTATGTGTATTTAGCTTGTCTCGATACAGCTTACAGAAGTCACAGTAGAAATCTAAGATGCTCATGCATATCTACACATACTTTGGTAGGGTGCTGTCTAGATGTCTGATGTTCCCTTCTCAGAAGCAGAGAGATCAATGCTGAGTATCAATCACTTTCATCCTGAATCAAGACTAATCATTCCATAATACAGCCAATTTTTCAAGGTCACATTCAATTGAGTCTAAGTGGCTCTCACACCGGCCTATCCCTACAGCTAGCCCCAGGACAACTCTGTAGTGGAGAAGACAGAAAGCTTTAACACACGGAAAAGATAACATCCAGGAAAGATTCCTAGATGAAAAGATATAGGGGGCTCAATAAGTATATGGGAAGAAAGTATGACCTATAATTTCATAAAAGTGAAAAAGTCAACAAAGGAGAAATTCTATACTGGGTCTGATTCCCTCTAAGAAAGAAGAATCTCTTGCTAGGGTAAAAATGATGTGAACCTTGTGGAGAAATGACCATTCCCTTCTAGATCTGTGATGGAGGAGAGGAAAGCAAGGCATCATCGAACATGTACTCCAGATTTTGGGAACCCTCAACAATGAAATTCTGAAGAACCAAAGAAAAACAATTCCAATGGAGGTGAAAATGTGAATTATTGAAAGCAAATGAGGTGAATGCCCCAACAACTCAATAACCAACTTGAGATTTTTAAAAGTTAAGTACATGAAATGGAACCAAAGGAAAGTAATAGGAGATAATAACAATATATTACATAATCATATAATTATAAAATAATACGGAATAAGAGCTTGGCCCAGTCTTGTAAAAATAGTGTTAGTATGAAAACTCAGAACAAATAGCTGTGGGTGATGGAACCTGACAAAAAGGTGTCGATTTGTTTTCCTAGCTATTTTGTGGGAAAGAAAATTAGAGAAGGAATAGGACTGCTATGGGAGGATGGAAAAAGATCACAGAGAGGAGAAAGAAATGTTTAATTCTTATCTTGCTTCATTTTTCTCTGACAAAGAAAATTGTACGAGAAATGAATAAAGATTCTTAACAAGATATGCACTGATAACCTATTAGGAGAGGATCAACCTAGCCACACTTGATGAATTTAAGTTACCTGGTCCAGAAGAACTACATCCCTTGATATTGAAAGAACTAGAATATGTGATTGCTGAACCACTATCAGTTAGATTTTGAAAGACTGTGGAGAAAACAAGAGGAACCGTACAGCTGAAACAGGGCAGATATTATCCTAATTAAAAAAAAAAGTTTGGGAAAAGAATCTGAAAATTTTAGGTTAGTGACCTTAATTGTGATGGATTTCTCAGGAAATTCAGGAATGGATCATTAGAGAGATATTTAGTGAACATAAAGGGAAAAAAAAATTCAAAAAATTCAATTACAAAGAGTCAACATGGCTTATCAAGAACATGTCATAGAAGACTAAACTAATTCCTTTTTGTGACAGCTTTACTGAACAAATAGATCAGAAGAATGATGTAGACAAAATTGGCTTACATTTAGCAAGGTATGTCATACTATCTTTGTGAAAAAATGGGAGATGTGCAAATTAGATGACCAAAGGATCATAGATTTGGCATTGAAAGGGATCTCAGAAGTCATCTAATCCAACCCTCTCATTTCACAGAGGAAGAAACTGAAGCCCAAGGAAGTTAAGAGGGTTTCAAGAAATGGTGGAACAGCCAAACTCAAAAAGTAGCTGTTGAAGATTTCAATGTAAGCTTGATAAGATTAACTTGATAAGAAGTCAACAGTAGAATGCCCCAGGGGTCTGTACTTCAACAGTGCTAATTAATATTTTTATCAATAGCTTAGATGAATGGTATGCTTATCAGATTTGAGATGGCACAAAGCTCAGAAGTTTAGCTAAGACACTAGAGGACAGATTTTGGATCCAGAAAAGGTCTAGGCTGGAATTTTTATTTGGATCTACTAAGATGAAATTGAATTGGGAAAATTTAAAGTATGACATGAGTTTGAAAAATCAACTCCTTATGTACCAGATGAGAGAGACAGAGTTAGCAGTTTGTCTCAAAAAAGATCTGGGGTGGGGGGAGGATCTTAGTGGACAATAAGTTTAATATGAGTCAGCTGTGTCATATGGAAGCTAAAAAAGATAAAGTAACCCAGGCTATACTAAGAGGCAGAACTCCCAGGAATAAGGAAGTATTGGCCTGCATACTCTGCAATGATCAATGGGCTTTTGGAGTCTTGTGTTCTGTTCTGGGTGCCATAGTTTAAGAAAAAATAATTGGTAAACTACAGAGTGTTTGGAAAGAGGCAAAGAGGATGGCAAAAGGCCTGAGTTCGTGTGATGTTAAGATTGGTTGAAGGAAGCAGTGATTTTTAGCTTAGAAAAGAGAAGACTTGGGATATGATTAATGTATTTGTAGGGCTGTCACATGGAAGAGGAATTAAGACTTCCTCTGTTTGGATTCAGAAGATAGTATTGCAAACAGTGAGAAGAAGTGGCAAGGAGGCTTATTTAGGCCTGGTGTCAGGGAGATCTTCCTTAGTAGTAGGGCTATCCCTAAGGAGAATGGGCTGCCTCAAAAGGTACTGATTGGACTCCCCTTCATGGGTGATCTTCAAGTACAGGCTGGAGAGCCACTTACTAGGTATGTAAAACGGGATGTTAATAATTGTTGTTGAAAGCATGTCTGCCAAAGAGATATGAGAAGACACATCTCCTCGCTCATTTGCAATGGTAGAAAGTACACAGGTGTAGAATTTTGTAAATGTCAGATTTTTTAATGTATTGATTAGTTTTACTGAGTTTTTTCCCTCTTTTTCTTTTTTTTACATCTTTGATATGAGGGAGGGAGAAGGATACAGGAAGAAATCAAGGCAATGTAAAAACAGAAAATATCAATACATATGTAGTTTAAAAATAAATGCTCATTGATTCATCAAGTATTGTTTTACTTGGGCATTAGTATGTGTTTATAGTTTAACACCTGGTGCTGCCAAGAAACCTTTCTCTTGTGCTCCCTTCTAATTTGAGACTTCAAATGGACTATTGTCTTAGAAATCAGATTGAACAACGATTTAATTCCACAGACGTTAATTGCCTACTATGTTTAAGGCAATAGAAGTACAAAGACAAAAATGAAATAGGTTCTTCTTTTAAGGAGCTTTCATTCCACTGGGATAATCACTTAACAGATAATCAATCAATGACATAGCCATGTGTATTAAAATTCCTAGGAAATGTCAACCCAATGTTTGAGAGAGCAGATGGACACTAACCCAAAGCAGGGTTAGGCTGGCAGAGCATGGAATCGAGGGCAAAGGGATCAAGGATTTCTACTGTCAGAAGGCTTTTAGCAGTTACAGCAGGAGTGGCTGCCAAAGGAAGAAAGCCTGAGCATCCTCCTTTCAGCTGGCTGCCAGACAGTAAAGAAAACATCAAAATTCAGCATCCCAGAAATACCCTACTGAGAACTATTAAGTTTCCATCTTAAAATTTCACCTTCCATGGGCCTTAGAGGCTAACCTAAGGAAGGCATTTATTTTTTCTCCTTTCATATTAATTGCCTCAGGATATTAAAACATTTAATAATATAATTAGGACATCATATAACAACAACAACATTTTAAACACCTCTTCAGGGGATCAGTTTGATTCTCAGTCATGGAGCAAGCCTCCAATCTTTCAAGGTTGTTTAAAGAAAAGAAGATGCTTTTGTGGTGTTGGGCCAAGAGGAATAGCTAACTTAGCTTAGCACATCAATCTGACCTTTGTTGAAAGGCAGTTCAAAAAGGCCAAAGGGGCTGGCTGCCCTAGCATCCTGAGCAGAAGTCCCTTTCAGATGGGAAAGTAATTAACTGCCCATAAATCCTGAGGGACAACTGTGAAATAACTCTTTTGAGAACAGCTGTCCCTTTCATCTATCCTACAGATGTCCAGCTGGGCTGGACACATATTTGATACCTAGCTTTTGAAGGACAAACACTAACTCTCTCAGGAATCTTGATCCACTGTAAGAACTCTTAAACCATCCTTTTCCCACTGCCATCTCAGGAGGCGGAAAACAATCCAAGACCAATGAAGTACTTTATCCCAAAGAAGAGGACAAGATATCTGAGTTTGGAACTCAGCGCTTGATTAGTGGTTAATACCCATCTGTCCCATGGTACTTACTGCCTGGTCAGTGCATTCTGGTCCTTGACACTATTTGGTTTAGCTAATGATAACATATTATGGCATCCTTGCGGGTGATAACTTTCAATTTTTAAAGTCTTTGTAACCCCAGCACCTGCCTAACACATAATAGGCACTTAATACATGTTTGGTGATTATTATTTTTGGGTGTTGCTCTCTGGTGGTTTCCTACAGATCTTGTCTTTCCAATTGGACAAGAGACAAGGCTTCTTCTTTTTCTTATTCTAGTCATGGCAAAGTGAATACAGAGTAGGCTACAGTCACACATTCAGGTTGGGTGGCCGTAACACACCTCTCAGTGCTTCAGGAAGCTCTCTCAAATATGTCGTTGAGTCATTTTAGTCACGTCTGAGTCTTCGTGATTCCATTTGGGGTTTTCTTGGTAAAGATTCTGGAGTGGTTTGCCATTGCCTCTTCCTCTCATTTTACAGAAAAGGAAACTGAGGGTAAACAGGGTTAAGTGACTTGCCCAGGATCACACAGCTACGAAGTGTCTGAGGCCAGATCTGAACTCATAAAGATGAGTCTTCCTGATTCCAAGGTTCTATCCTTTGTGCCACCTAGCTGCCCTATTTGTTTTTGAGTCATTTTAGTCACATTTGACTCAAATGTTAAGTGGTGAAACAGGTAAAGATCTGAATTGGTGGAAGGAATTTCCATATCAGGAGTTCCTTATGCAAATGATATCTGTTTTTACCTTTCTATGCATAGTGGTTTTAACACACTGTCTGACACATAGGAAGAGCTTAATAAATGCTTGTTGATTGAAATCAGAGGCCCAATTTTTTGAAATGACAACAATAATAGCTTGCAACTTCTAGGTGCAGTACAGTTATTCTAAAAATCCTTGTTAACTTGAACTGAAATACTGTGAGTGAGTAAAAACCATACCACATACACATACAGTTTTTCTAAGGTTTCTCAAGTTGTCATTTTCAGAAGATCAGTTTCATACCTTGTACTAAATCCATATCTACTCTTTCCTTAATTCGATTAATCCTGGGTTTCTTTGATGCCATACCACCCATAATTTCCATTTTGAAAGTCAAAGTCATCATCTGACTGTAAGAGCCCATCTCCAATGCCCTATTAAGCAATGAGGCAAACGTAAGATTTATAATACAAAAACATCCTAACAATTTGAGCCATTCAAAAAATGGAAGGAGTTACATCTAGAAGTAGGGGCTTTCCCCTCACCAGGGGTCTTCAAAACAATGGCTGGATTGGACGATCATCTGCTGAGTTTGTTGTAGCAGGGACTCTTTTTCAGGTATGAGTTACAGTAGATGAGTGCCAAGGACCCTTTCAGCTATGGAACTCTATGATGCTGACAGTCAAAATATTTCCATGGAGTTGTTGTAGGGTCACCTTTTGCTCCAAAGCTTTTTATTTGGCTACCAAATTGTTTCACATTCATCTAACATAATTCATCTATCCATTTTTCTATCCATTCATCAAACACCCTTTGTGTGCAGAGCACTGTGAGAGATGCTGGGGTAGGTACAATGTTTAGATGAAGAACTATCCTTGCTCTTATGGAAGTTAGACAGTCTAGCAGAGGAAGAACACACCCACATAGAAAATTATATTGCACAATGCCCCATAATATCAGACCTGAGGCACATTAAGGGAAGTAAGAGCCAAGGGTAAAGGTCATTACCAAGTTGGGGGATTAAGAATAGTTTTCATGGGGGAGGTAGCATTTGAGTTAGTCCTTAAAGCATACACAGGAATTCATCAGGTGAAGATGAAAGAGCATAATGGATATAAGGAAAAGTGTAAGCAAATATAGAGAGGTTTATTCTGTAAGCAAAGAATAGCCCAGTTCAGCCACGGAACAGAGTGTGGAAGGGAATAACATAAGATAATTCTGGAAGGTACTTATCATTATCCTTGGCAAACTTTTTTCACAGTGTCAGTAAGAACTCTACATTTTTTGTGGTAGCTCAGTGGTGTAGATGATTGAGTGTTGGCATTGAAGTCATGAAGACCTGAATTTGAATCCTATCTCAGACACTTATTAGTTGTATGACTCTGGGCTAGTCACTTAACCTCTTCTGTCTAAAATGTAGCTATCTTACCAGGGTGGTTGTAAGAATCAAATCAAATGAGAGTTGATTTCAGAAAAACATGGAAAGACATATGAAATAATGAAAAGTCAAGTGAGCAAATATGTATATGGTAACAGTAGTATTGTTCAAAGAATAATTGCGAACAACCAAGTTATTCTGAGTGCTATAAATACTCAGATCAACTATAAAAATCTATGAAAGAAATGATATCTACCTCCAGAGAAAGAACTGATAAATAGAAGTATGCATAGTGTGGTTTTACATATATTTATAAATCTGAGTCAAATGGTGGCTTTCTTTAGTGTGGGGTGGGAAGGGAGGGAAGAAGATAATTGAGAATTTAAAATGTAACAGAAAATAAAGAAAGAAAAAAAGTTAAATGAAATAACATATGTAAAATACTTATACCTTAAATCACCATATGAATACAAACTATTTTTATTATCTGCGAAGTTCTACCTTAGCCATTAGGGGTTGACAGCCTGATGTTCTACCTTCCTTTTCTTCTTCATGCCCAGCACCGTATTCTACCTTGCCAATATCATTTTAGGCTGGATAAACTCAGTGTGGGTGAACAAAACCTCTCTTGTCTGTTTCAAATTTGGCACTGAAATGGCTTGTCTCCTGTTTCTGTCTGAGGCATGGTACTGAATGGGCCATGTTGCAAGATCAGCCCTTGCCAGACCCCACAGCCCAGGCCAGTGACAGAGCTAGCCTTTGAATGATATCAGATTGGTAAAGCATGTCTTTGGTGATCTTCCAGCTCCCCTATCTGTCTCAAAGAAAACCCAGATAAGGTGTGAGCTAATAATGGTTTAAAGTATCATTCTACTCAGAGTATTTCAATTTAATACAAAGGCTCCAAGGCAGGGCTTCTTTGCACTATACCTTTATCAGTATCATACTAAAATATTTCATAGTATCCCTGTGACATGGCACACAGGTATTACAATCTTTGTAGGTTAAGGTCCAATTCTACCTCACCTATTTCAACTTAAAAAATAAATATATATCTAGTCTTACTGCTTTGTGCTGGGTCTGAGCTAGTGGGCTTGATGACATGATTCGCATCCTCATGAAGAGTTCCAAACCAATCTTTTAGCCGGGAAGCAAGATTCCTCAACTCCTTGTCTGTGCAGCCTAGAGAGAAAATACAAAGAAGAAGATGAGTTATTAAATTATTCATATCCTTTGATCCACTACTGGGAATATCCCCTGAGATCAAAAACAGAAAGAAAGTTTCCATATGAGTGACCTTATACAAGTCACTTAAAATCTCTGGGTCTCACTTTCCTCATCTTTCATATGAGGTTAGATTAGATGACTTCTAAAGATGCTCCCAGATACAAAATCTAATTGTGTTGGAAGCAATAGCTATGAGGAATTCAGAGAAACATGGGGACAGTTATATGAAATGACACAGAGCCAAGTAAGCAGAACCAGGCCTACAATATACAGAATGACTTTAATAATGTAAATTAAAAGCAACACCAAAAGAAAGCTGAATTCTGATTAACTACGACTAATCTTGGGCCTGAAGGACAAATGATGAAACATGCTTCCCTCTTGTCACCAAAGAGGTGGGGAACTATGAACAAGGAATGTGATATTTGCTGTCAAACACAGTCACCAAGTCACTAGGTTTTGCTAAAAAAAATTTCTTTTTCTTTGTTACGAGGAAGGAATCAATGAAGGCAGGGTTAAGGGAAAATAACTATGAGATAAAAATAAATGGTACCAATAGAATGTAATGAGGTAATCAGGGCAGGCTTCTCCCACTCCCAACTGCTGGTGCAGGCCACATGGGCCCATCCCATGGAGGCTGCTTGGGGATGGTCCTGAACCCTGGCCCCTTCCAATAAATTTCTTACCAAAGGACAGGCACACCCAGAGTCTTTTTATTTGGCCCCATCCTTGGGGGCTACTGATGATTCATGAATGTGCAGGAAAAGCTCATTAAGTAGGATTAAAAGGAGAAATAGGTGCAATTCTTTCTCTCTTCCTTTTTGAGCATATTGCTTGGCAGTTTGCCAGTTCTCCTTTGGACTCCCATCAGAGGCAGGGGGTCAGTATCTTCCTCTCTTCCCACCTTCTTTGAAACAGCTAAGTCATCTATTGTACATAGCAACGTGTGCATGTGCTAGCATGAGACAGGATCTCAAGTCTGTGCCAGCCTCTCTGCTATAGCTTTCTTTCAGGTGCCAAACAATGGTCCTGAGATAGATACTTACATCCTTGGGGAGTACCTCATGAGTTCATGAGTTCTGGAGGTATTGAGAGGTCCAAGGGCTGGCAGCAAAAGGGGCTTCCTATAGCCACACCCTTCTCATATGAAAAGATGGCCAAAACAACGAGGCTGGCATGACTCAGGCAGGCCAGAGTCTATGGGCCATAAGTGAATAGCACAGACTGAGGTCGGTTACTGGTTCATGCTTTAAATATTAGTCAATGCACAGTTTATGAATCATTTGTATTTTAAGTATTTCTTTGTTAGTGGAAGAAATTAATAGTTTTACTATACCTGAAGTCTACTACTTTGCACATTAAATACCTTTTCTTGAAAGGGCTCTGCCAATCCCTTTTGGGGTGACCCTAAATATGAGTTGTATCTAAGCTTTGAGATTTCCCCGATGTCCTAATCCAAGGTGAGGAAATGAGTTAGAGAAAGTTAGAGAAAACACTAACTCCATTTTAGAGTTTAGGTTCCCTCTGAACTGAAACAGTAGGACCCTTTTAGAAGGCAAGGCCCCCTCCCCAAAGGCCGGAGGTGAAAGGCTATCACAAAAACAGAGGAATCTGTTGCTCCCCACTAGGTCAGCTTTCCACAGGCAACATCGTAAAAGTAACAGCAATAACAAATCTTAAATCTCTCTACAGAAAGCAAGTAACAAAGCATACTACTTTTCCATTAGAAAACAGGCAATATGCTTTGTTAATTAAAGGGAGGATTGACAATAAAGGTCCTTAGCTTTAAACACCAAGTAAGAAAATCAAACAAAAAAGGAAGATTCATGAAGGAATAGCATAACAACATTATTAATAACAAGATATTAAGGATGACTTATACAAAATAAATACAGAACTATTTGGAGGGGTAAGGGTCTAACAGAGAAATAAGAAAAGGCTTTATGTATGGTAGAATGTGGCACTCAAGCTAAGCTACCTAGGAAATTAGGAGTGCTAAGAGGCAGAGTTGAGGAGGGTGTACATTCCAGGTATGAGGAATCAGTAGCCCGCGCAAAAGCAAAAATGTAGGAGATGAAATGTTGTATATGTGAAGTATAACAAGACCAGTTTTACTGGATTGAAGAGTGTGTGAAGAGTAATACATCGTTGTTGCTTTGTTGTTTTCAGTCATGTCTGACTCTTCATGCCCTCTTTTAGGGTGTTCTTGGCAGGGATACTAGAATGATTTGCCATTTCTTTCTCCTGTTCACCTTACAGATGAGGAAATTGAGGCAAACAGGGTTAAGTGACTTGCATAGGGTCATATAGCTAGTGTCTGAGGCAGATTTGAACTCAGGTCCTCCTGACTCCAGGCCTGGCACTCTATCCACTGTACTACCTAGCTATTCTAAATGCCAAATACAAGATTTTATTTGCTCCTAGAGATAAGAGGGGACCATTAGTGACTATTGAGTAGGGGAGTAATTGGATCTGTGCTTTTGGAAAACTTCTTTAGCAGCTCTGTGTAGGTGGATTATTATGGGGAAAGACTTAAGAAAGGGAGACCAATTGGGAGACTATTGTAATAGTCCAGGGTAAAAATGATAAGGCCCTGAACTAGGGTGGTGGTTGTGTAATTGGAGAAAACAGATGATAAACTCTTAGTGCAACAATCTATTATGAAAATTAGCTCATTTTTAGTCTAGGAGAAATATAAGGGTCCCTAAAATCCATGTGTCTCCTTCTTTTTAGCTTTAGGAAGTTAATTTTAGATGAAGAGTTACAAGTTCAGTCATAATCACTCCAAGCCCCAATTAGGAAAATTCCTAAAATTTAGACAGAGGTTAGGCTACCTAAATTTACGTTTATGTCTATCTCTAGTTAACTTTTAACCTCTTTGTGTTTGAGTCAAAATTCAGTTTACTAGAAATATTTTGTTGATAAAACAGCAGCCACTCAAGGGCATAATCTTAATACTGCTTACTTATCAGTCAAGCCTTAATATGCCTCTTTTTCCCAACCTGGGCCAATTCATCCCAACATGGACCAGGTCACCCCTCTTTAGTTTACATGATGAATTTCCACTCTTGGGTACTCTTAATATCAGTGCCAGATAGTATAGGCGTCCAGTCAGGCTTCAGCTCTACTATAGCTTAGAACTCCTGAACTCAGTTGATCCATTAGCAGGGACTATAGGTTTCCTCCATGCTTGGATAACTCCTTCATTTTATATACTTTGCTTAGGATATAATCAAGTTTTTCACACCGATGGCTCTGATTAATTCAAAGTGATATATAATATATGAGCCCTGTTGTTTTGATTGATTGAATCAATCAAGAAATGTTCTTACCTAAGAAAGGTAATTAATTATATGTGAGTGGGATAATCAATGAAGTCCTACCCTTACAACAGAATCATATACTTAGAGCTAAAGGGGACTTTGAAGGCCATTGGGTCCAATATCCTTAGGAGTACTCTACCCACTGCACCATCTAACTGCCACTGTCACTTCTAGAAACTAAAGAGTCATGCCAGTGGCTACTCATGGGAGAAGTTGAGTCATCAGCCTATGACAGGCTGGCAAGAATAGCACAGCACCAGCCTGCTTAGGAGGGTGAGTATACCCACATCATCAATTCATGAATCCAGGAGCTGGAGTAGATATTGTTGAGGCAATTCTACCCATGATGCTGCTGCAGGGCTCAGGAATCAGAAACTCACTTGTTGTTTAGCCATTTCTAGTCATGTCCAACTCTTCATGACCCCATTTGGGGTTTTCTTTACAGAGATACTGGAGTGGTTTGCCATTTCCTTCTCCAGCTCATTTTACGAAGGAGGAAACTGAGACAAACAGGGTTAAATGACTTGTCCAGGACCACACAGTTAGTAAGTGTCTGAGGCCAGATTTGAATTCAGGAAGATGCCCAGCACTCTAAGCCCAGCACCACCTAGCTGTCCTTGGAATCAGAAGACGTGAATTCAAATCTGGCTTCAGACATTTACTAGATATGTGACCCTGGTCAAATAATTTAATTTCTGTCTGCCTCAGTTTTCTTAATAGTAAAATGGGGATAACAAATAGCACCTACCTCCCAGGGTTGTTGTATGGATCAAATCAGATACTTTTTGTAAAGTGCTTAGCATAGTACCTGGCACATCATAGGTTAATATATGCTTGAATGCTCCCTTCTCCCCGCTTCTCTTGCTGGGGAAAGAAAAAAGCATTTATGAACTCAATGCATAAACAGGACCAGCTGCACAGGAGCTCCTAGAATATGGCTGACTCTTTAATTAGCTATTAGGAAGTCTGAATGATGCTGAGCTTTATTATTGTCATGTAGTCAATACCTCTAAACTACAATATGAGTGGTTTTTTGAAAGCCAACCAGATCGTGGACAGAGAGAAGATTCTTAACTGGAAATAAGACATGATTAATTTTTGTAGGCTTTTAATGCGCGATATGCATAAGGGAAATGCAAGCCAAACTTATGATAAATTTATAAGGTATTGTCACTTTCATACTTGAACAGTTTGGTTACTTAAAGGGACAGAAAATGAAGTTTTAGGGCAGAAAAGGAGCTGTTATATAAAGAAAAAGGATTGAATGAACTTGTTAAGGATGTAAAGTGCTGGTCTTTTTGTTTATGAACAGTTTGGTTGTTATAAGGTACAGAAAGCTTTCATGTATGAAAAACTAGCAAAAGTCCATTTGTGAAGAAAAACAGTTTTTCCCATGAAAATATAAGGACAGACACAAGGGGACTGGATAAAGAATGTAGAAGTGTTGTTTGGCAGCAAAAAAAAAAGTGACTGAGGCTGCAGGGCATTATAATTCCTCAGTTCCCTTCCCTTCCTTTCCCTTCCTCCTTAATGACATGGCAAAAGCAAGAATAATCTCTATGTTTACTCAATGGGAAGCAAATATGGGAATAATCAGCACATCACAATTCACAGAGAAATCTGGGTCACATT